GAACGATTACAAGAAGAGAAACGTCAGGAAGCGTTGCGACGCAAAGAGCGTAACGAAGCGCACCTTTTCATGAATATACACATCTTCACTGAAGACAGTTTTATGGGACATAAAGGCTGTGATCTTTACGACAGCGAAAAATCTGTGTATAAAGTGTTTAAAGTGAGGAAACAGTCGACACTGAAAGAAGCGGCAGAACTTATAGCCGAACAAATGAAATACCCGTTGAATGCGATGAGGATTTGGCCAATCATTTCGCGCGCCAACGAGACTATGAGACCGTCGAGTCTTGATTTTGACAGTGAAAGCAGTCGTCCGATCACTGATATCTGCGAATCGCAGAATCCATGGAATATATTCCTCGAACTCATTGAACCCGACTCTGAAGTGCAGACATTGTCTAAAATAGACAAAGAATGTGAGTGTTTGCGGTGTTTGGTATTTGAATGATTGCTAAATGGTTTGTGTGTTTTGTTTTTCTATCAATAGCCGACGTTCTCCTGTTCTTCAAGTTATACGATCCGAAAAATTGTTTCATCAGTTATTGCGGACACGGATTGCTGTCTTGTAATTCCCGGACACGCGATATAATGCCTTTTCTTAACAAAAAGGCTGGTTATCCGATAGACACTCCGTTAGAGTTATATGAAGTAAGTTTCACTACCAGTAAAGCATTGTTTACAGCAAAGGATTGTTTGATTTATTGAAAATTGTAATTATTTGCTGCAAAACTAATAGGAAGTGAAGCCTAATATGGTTGAGCGGATCGACGACTTGGACGCGCCGCTGAACAAAGTGTTGGACGAACTGATGGACGGAGACATCATTGTGTTCCAGAGAGCGGACCTCAATTTGGGACCGGAATGTGAATTACCGAATGTGAAGGAATACTTCAAGGATCTGCTATTCCGAGTGGAAGTTACGTTCTGTGATAAGACTAATCCATCAGATGTTGGCTTTATTATCGAGTTGTCACTCAAAATGAATTACGAACAGATCGCCAATGCGGTCGCCCAACGGCTCGGAACCGATCCCTATTTGATTCAATTCTTTAAGAATCAGAGGTATTTTCACTTTGAAATATTTTTAGTGATTACTAAACCATCGTTTTGTTACTGCAAATAGTTATCGTGACGGCCCGGCCGGCCCTCTGCGGTGTAACTATGACGGCACTCTTAAGGATATACTCGTCTACTATAAACCACGGCAACCAAAGAAGATATATTATCAACAGGTAATCACCACTTGTTGTCATCGTGTCTATTATCCATACATTGGGTTATATGACTGACAATAAAATAATTATTTTAAACATCATATTAATTATGATTTATATTATATTATAGCTAACGATACGAATCAATGAACTCGAGAATAAAAAGCCGTTTAAATGCATTTGGGTTAATAGTAAACTCAAAGAAGAGGTAATGGATTGAGTGTTGAATTGTTTTACTTTGATATTAATGCGAAATGTTTTTGGTTTGTTTGCGAATCTACAGAAAGAATTACAATTATATCCGAACAAAAACGGAACGGTTCACGACCTGATAGAAGAGGCCAAAAAGCAGATCGAGATGAACGAGGACTGGTCGCAAAAGTTGCGGCTCCTGGAAGTGACCAGTTATAAGATTCATCAAATACTGGCCGAAGACATACTGTTGGAGTGCCTCAACTCGACCGGAAACAAGACCTACCGAATAGAGGAGACGCCCAAAGACGAGCTCCGTATGGAATCGGGAGAGTTTCTGGTGCCGGTCGCCCACTTCCATAAGGAGGCCTATCAGACATTCGGTGTTCCCTTTTTGCTCAAATTAAAGCACGTAAGTTGTCGTCAACAGTACTGTCCTTTTGTTTATCCCATTTCTTGAATGCTTTTATATATGCTTTTTGTATTTGTTATGCAGAAAGAGATGTTTACGTCAGTTAAGGACAGAATTCAGAAGAAGTTGGATATTCCCGATAAAGAGTTTGAAAAAGTAAGTGATTTTTGTATCAATGTTTTTCTCGTTGTGTGAATGAGTGATAATTGAATGATTTGTTTGCCGTTTTTGTAGTATAAGTTCGCGTTAGTGACCACCGGAAGGATTCAATTCATTAACGAAGAGAATGAATACGTTATAAATAAGGAAGACTTTCACGGCCACACAATCAATAGTGAGTCCAGAGCTGTGCCATTGATCACAACTAACGTATTGTTGATATATTTCAGGTCCACTGCAAAACAGTTCACCGCCGAAGCCGTGGTTAGGTCTCGAACACGTAAATAAGGCGCCGAAGCGCTCGCGTTATAACTATTTAGAGAAAGCTATAAAGATTCACAATTAATAACTAATTTTGTAAATTTCGGGCTTTTTTGTGCCACAAAGAAGAAACCACTTTATATACTATAACTTGAACTACAGTTTAGACGAAGAGAAACATAAAAACGGCAAATAAAACGTTGAGTAAAAAACATATAATTATTTGGAAACAGAAAACAAATAGAGCTTTCGATTAATATTTTGTGTCGACAATAATATTTACACTTTTAATCTTAAATAGAATTATCTTTAATTATAAGATAATTGAGAATTTGTTTCGTTAGCTTTTGATCCCAACGGCCAGACAGACAGACACCCAGTATTGCTATGAACTCTATATGAAAGCCCATTAAACAAAGCAAGACATGTGCCCTTCCCTTCCCTTATCCTTATTTTTTGTTGTAAATAATTGATTACTGACTTAAGAACTGGTGTTCGGACTCTCAATACATGTATTCCGATATGTCGTCGAAACAAACATAAAACCCCTCTTTTTCTCTGTCTTTCTTTCACTCTTCTCTTAAGCTTTTATTTTTAAGATAAATTAAAAAGTTATTTAAAAGTTTTTAATTTTTACAGAACTATCGGGAATTTAATGATTAGTTTAACGAATGATTTTTAAAACAACAAATGATTTTCTTTTCTCCTCTTTTTGTAATTCAATTTAAAAAACAATTTAATATTTTGAGGCAATTATTTGATGAGTAAAAGCAAGACTATTATAATTTGTATATAAATTGCTATTATTTTTGAATGTAATTTAATTGCTATTAAAAAATACACAATCTTTTGAATGAAACGATATATTTATTTGAATAAAACATTTTTAAACGATAACATCACTACACCTGCGGTCCACTCTTCGCGTGGACTCTGAGGCCAAACTTCTGGAGCAATTGATTTGAGTCATGGATTGTGATGTCATTCTCGGCCAACGATTTGTGGGTTTTGTTGTGAAAATCGCGCAAAACTTTGGCCAACAAATTGGCGTTGGATTTGATGTCAAACGTGCGGCCATTGATGTTGTGGTCGACGTCTAGACTGGCCATCGACTCAATCAACTGACACACGGCTTGTTTGCAGCCGTCGTTTGTCCGCAAATAGTGGCCATTCATTCGGTCACCGCTTCTGTCGTCACCGCCGGAGACCACGAATCGATAGAAATATAGTTTAATTAAGTCTTCATTTCGGATGATTTGCGATACCATTGACCCGAAAGCGGGTATTTCTGGCGACTCTTCGGCCGACAGTTTGTCTGTCAATTGCGGGACTCGAGCGTCGAGTTTGTGGCCAAACAACTGGACGTCCAACTGATCCGTCTCTGCTCTTCGCTCATTCATCTGTTTCATTAGATCCAATACTTTGCGGTAATTATCACCCATTCTTGTGATTATCACTAAATTGTGGTTCAATTCAAATGTCAAACACAACTGTTTCGCAGATTTTGTGCCAAAAAATGGTTTGAAAATTGAAAACAATTTTTGTATGCATTTGTCATAAATAGCGGCAAAACTTTGTGTATCACTAAATTGTGGTTCAATTCAAATGTCAAACACAACTGTTTCGCAGATTTTGTGCCAAAAAATGGTTTGAAAATTGAAAACAATTTTTGTATGCATTTGTCATAAATAGCGGCAAAACTTTGTGTAAATAAATAACGTTTAGTTTTTACTCATTTTTGAGAATAGTTTGACTTATTTTTAGATTTATTGTAAATTTAATTTTAATTAATTGTAAAATATTTTTTAATCAAATTAATTTTTGCTCAAGTTTGTTTATTATATGATCATGATTAATATTTACTAAAATGCTTATTGTTCCCAATCATGATCCTTTAAAACTAAAAAACTCATAAACATTTCGCACTAATATTTATTACAGTATAATAAAGTAAAAGTTTTAATTAAATTACCAGGTATAATTATGTATAATTAAACTGTTAATTGAGTAGTAAATAAAAAATTATTGTTATTTAATCACAGAATCTTATAATAATCTAAATTTGAAACAAAGCGTGAAATAATGCAAAATACGTAAAGAATATTCTTGTATTCAATTTATCACAAGTTTTAGTGTCGGCTAAAAAAGTCAAGAGACAAACGATATGCTAATTAAAAGTTTGTAATAAAAGCATTAATTATTATTAAATTACAATTAAATGCCATATAATATACAGATCGAGAATAACAAAATGTTCGCACAATTTAAGCGTTCAATTTATCAGTAAATGTATCAAATAATATGCGATAAGAGTTTGTGAGACTCGGAGTCGAAAAACAGGTTATGTTTTGTGTATTCAATAAAATAGGCGTTTTATAAGTCAGTCATTCAGTGCTTGCGTTCAATGGGTTCTCAATTCATACCATTATATTATAAACACTGATTCACAACAACTCGTGTTTCTCTCCCATCAATACATCACAACATTTTGTTGTTATTATTTATATTTAGTTTTTTAAATTTTAATTCAAATATATATTTAAATATTCAACAATTCTGTGAAATTATTTGTAAACTATTTGTCTGAGGATTAGTTGCCTCAAGAGTTGTGTCTATGAAAACACTCATTCAATTGAATGCCATAATTAAAAGGTAAGGAATTTTTGGCATTATTTCAATTGTCATTCATTTATATTATAATTAGAAATATTTATTCAGTTTTTCTAATTAACAGTTATTTTGTGAATAA